TTTTATTTTTTTTTTTTTTTCTTTTTTTTCTTTTTTTTTTTTTTTTTTTTTTTTTTGTATCGGGGATTGAACTTGGGTGGCCACCGAACCACTGAGCTAAATCCCCAGCCCGTGTTACTCACTTCTGAAGTGAGGACAGTATATTATACTAAATATTTTAAAACATGTGGATAGGAGTAGGTAGGAATAATCATTTTAGGGGATTTTTATTTATTATCCACCTGTTTAGTGTTTTTTATTTGGGCATTGTTGTATTTCACATGGCATTAATACTAAAATGTATACTTAAGAGACCCTCTTTTCATATGTTCTCAGAAAATCAGTTTCTAGTCACAGCGTAGATCCCTTCAGTTTTTCCTGTTTGGCCACCATCTAGGTGTAATCATTTCCAGTTGGCTTGGCCATGTGGATGCTGTGACAGTGAGTTGCCTGGTATTGGCTATGTCAGGGCTGCACTAGTGGTACCCACCTTGCCTGAGCTGGGCATGTGCTATCATGGGCCAGAACAACCAAGGCAGGTAGCAGACTACTAGGAAGATTTACAGCACTTTTATTCCCTTTACTAACCAAATTGTAAAGGAGTTTATTTTGATAGATTTATCACCTTGTGATAATGTTTAAAGTGTATGTAGATACAGGGCTGGGAGAGTAGCTCAGGATAAAGGGCTTGCCTGGTGCTTGCAGTGCCCTGGGTTTGATCTCCAGCACTGCATTAATAGTTGATGTTTTTTTGGGGGGGTTGTTTTTTGTTTTTAACAGGATCCTGATGCTCCCATAAGACAGAAAATGCCCCTTGATGATATGGATAGAGAAGATGAAATTCGATTACTTAAATATCTTTTCACTCTAATCCGTGCTGGAATGACAGATGAGGTAAAGCACATAGTACTCTGCATGTCCAATTTCAAAAAGACATAGAACTTTGAGTTGAAGGAGATCTTTGTGGCTACTTAGTGTGCTTCTTTAGTGGAGTAATCTCATTGACAGTATTTCTGTATCTGTCCTCCTCATTGACTTGTTTCTAGTGAGGAGATATACACTGCTTTAGAGAGGAGTGCCCTCTAGTTTATGCAGTTCTGTATGAGAGGACTCTTTAACTGGTCACACTTTGCTTCTCTGTATTGTGTACCATAGGTATATCCTCATTACGGTCTACTTCTGAGTTTCTTTTTTTTTTCTGTTGGGAATGTAACCCAGGGTCTTTGCACTGAGCTATACCCACAGCCTTCTAAAAGTCTTTATTTTGAGGAAGGGTCTCACTGTCATTAAGTTCTAGGCTGGACTCAAACTTGTGATGCTCCTGCCTTAGCCTCCAAGAATGCTGCAATTATAGATACATACCACTAGGTCCAGCTCTACTTCTGATTTTTAAGGTTTTAAAATAAGCTAGATGTAGTGGCTCATGCCAGTAATTCAAGTATTCTGGGAGGTAGAGATAGAAGGATCCCAAGTTCAATCCCAGCCTGGGAAATAAAGGGCTGGTAGAATGACTCAGTGTGACAGCCTTGGGTTCAGTCCTTAGCTCTGAAAGAAAAAAAAAGTTTAAAATAAGTCTAACCCTAGAAGACACTGTTCAGGCACTTGGAAACTGTTGGCTCAGATTTCTTCTTGGTCAATTTGAACTTAAGAAACTATGGTCAGGTTGATAAATGAGCAATAACACCCTTGTCATTATATAGACTAACAATGCTTTTATAATACTTTTATATAAATCAGGGACATCAGACTCTTTAACCCTCCTTGTTTCTAGCAGAATTAAGTGCTGTTGGGCACCATGAGAAAAGACAGATAAGCCTAAAATCCAATAGAAAAGGAATTTCTATAAAAATTAAAATGAATGCGGAAATGCACACACATTGGTAAAGTGGAGTGCCATTACTAATTGTCTACATACTCTAACATTTGTGCCACAGAGTATCGAATCTTGTCATAAATAGGTTGTGCTGTACTCTAGGGCCTAAGTACTTTTCAGTAATATATTGCCAATGTCACTCTTTCCTGTTTCTAAAGGCACAGAGACTCTGTAAACGTTGTGGTCAGTCATGGAGAGCTGCAACACTGGAAGGCTGGAAACTATACCATGACCCTAATATTAATGGAGGTGTGTAAGATTTTATTCTGAGAGATGGCATAAAGGCATTTAACGCTAAATGCCAGTCTTTGTGAAATGTACTTTTCCTTTATAGACAAGACTGAGATGAAAATCTCATTTTAAAATATATTTTTTATTTTATAGAAATAGGAGCAGAATTAGAACCTGTTGAAGGAAATCCATATCGACGCATTTGGAAAATTAGTTGCTGGAGAATGGCAGAAGATGTAAGATAAATAACATATTCACTGATACTGATTTTTACTCCAGGTTAAGTAAAGGCCTACCTAGGGGCTGTGAAATGTTCAAAATAGCAAGAAACTAAAGTTCTGTTTTTCAGATAAATTTAGTGAAATTGAGAAACAGTCTTAACTATTTATCAAAATTTGAGATTCACCAAATAGTAAGAATTAAACACTGATACATGGTAAAAATATAAAGAATGTACCAAGTAAGTAAAGAGAAAAGCCTTGGGTAAAACTTAAAGATGAAGATGGATGAGTAGAACTTTTTAAAATCATAGGAATTGGGTTTTTGGGAATGAGAAGAAAGGAAGGGATTCTAGGTAGGATACATAAGTCTCAAGGATTGTTAGTTCTGCCAGGTTAGAGTAGATGGCTTATTAAAGGAAATATTGTATAGTCAGCTCTGTGATGACACAGCATATGGATTCTTAAAAATCACTACAACATGCAAACCACCTCCCCACCAAATCCAGGCCTTACGGGAACATGAAGTTAAGAGAACAAGTCCTAAAAATTTCATCGGTGAATCACCAGCTACTTTGAGGCTGAAGGAGGAGGATTGCAAGTTCAAGGCCAGCCCGGGCAGCCTAACAAGACCTTGTCTCAAAATAAAGAATACAGAGGGCCAAGGGGATAGTTTAATGATCGAATCCCACTAGGTTCAGTGCGTAATACTGCAAAAAACAAAACAAAACAAATCTTCATTAGTGGTACATAAAAAGATTAAAAAATCAATAAATATGATAGCACAATTTTATTTCTGTGAGATGGTTAAGAATCACATATGCACTACAGTAAATTTGATGCTTTGCCTTGAAAATGCCCTGAACTTTGCTTATAGAATTGAGCATCGGAAGGGTTGCAGAACCTTGAGGACCCCTTGCAGCAGTGTTTTAGAGATTAGCAGGGCAGTGGAAAATAGACTTTCAAATTGTAAGGACTAAAACTTGATGAAGTAACTAGGAGCCTGTCAAAGTTATTCAGCCACTAATAAGGGCCCATCCTAGGATAGTATTGATGGGAATGGAAAGGAAGGGAACAAGACTGGTCAGAACCATGACTAGAAACAGAAGGCAGAGGTGGACTCAATTATTTAGGAAGAGTCTCTGAAGTCTCCCATTTGCATGACTAGAGGCTGGAAATGCTATTTATAGAACCCCAAAAGTAAACAGAGTAATGTGGAGAATTTAATTCTACCTAGAATCCAGTGCAAATGCATGTCTTGTTTTGATGTTCTTAGGTCAGCATCAGGGATTATCAGGTGCTTAGAAACATTCCAGAAAAAAACACCAATCTCAGTTCTATGGACTAAAATTTGGTTGTACAGTATAATCAAAACATCCGTTAGAGTTGGTTCTGCTTTCACCCTATGGAAGAAATTTAAATGCTGGACTCTTTCCTAAAGATTTCAGTATAATTTCATCAAATTAAAAGGCCCTTCTTGAGTGCGGGATTTATCTTAGTGGTTCCAGTGCCTGCCTTGCAAGCACAAGGATCCGAGTTATTTGATCCCTGGTACCAAAAAAAAAAAGCTTTTCCTTCTTAGTATTCTACTAGATCTTTAAAGTTTAGAAACTTACAAAATAGGTTCAGTCTAGAAGAAATGGCAAAAATTAATGTACTAACAAAAAAATATTTCAAATGAGAATCAAATATTATGTAAAGCTACAAATTGCTAGTGATGAATGTCATTACATTGTAAACCTAAAATGTATAAATATAATTAATAATAAAAAGTATTTCAAATCTGTATTAATTTTAGGAACGTTTTAATAAATATGAGAGAGCGATTTATGCAGCTTTAAGTGGGAACCTCAAGCAGGTAAGTAATCTTAATATTTTTTCTAGGAATTAACTGATGCATAAAATATTCTAATGTATATAAAAACCTTATAAACTTAAGCTGCTTTCTAAAAGAAGCAGTGATAGAGATAATTATGAAACAGAAGAGTGATTTACTATGTGGTGATGATGACCATGGTGAGATGACATGTGATCCTAAACATATATTGGGCAAGACACTCTTCAAAGGAAAAGAGAAAATGGTGAATCCCATAGATTCTTTCCCCTTTGGAACCAGCATCTGCTGGTTTTCTTGCCCCTCTTCTCTGAGGCGGAAACTGGGAAGCCTAACAATGGCAAAATAAAGATGTAAATAAACACAGAACAGTGATTTAACATGAGATATTCCATACATGTGTGTTTTAATGAAATGAGGCTTTAATTTCTAACTAAAAATTGTCAATTCAATTGCAACTCACAGTCATTGATGACTTCTAATGCCCAAAGCTGTATCCAGAAAAATACCAAGGGACAGTGACTGCTCAAGTTTACAGTGTGTATGTTTCTAACAGCCTCTCCTACCTGCTGTTTTTCAGCTATTTTGAGGGATGCTATTAAAATGCCATCTTATATCAGCATGTAAAATTGGTGCTATTGTGATTTGGTACGGAAAACATAATAGCTTACACTATTTAAAAATGAGAGGAAAAAAGCAAGTTATTTAGTATAATTTTATTTAAATCCACAATGTTTTTTATCATTAAGTGACTGTATTGTCATCAATGGATATAATTGCTCTTTTTTGGTGAATGTATTTGTTTCTATTTGGGAATGGGAAAAAAGCTTCTTCCTGTATGTGACACCTGGGAAGATTCTGTATGGGCCTACTTCCGGGTGATGGTGGACAGTCTGGTGGAACAGGAGATCCGGCTGTCAGTAATGGCCCAGAACGAAACTGAAGAACTCCCTAGAGAATACCTAGAAGCAAAGTGAGTGTGTTGGTTTGTTTTAATCTTAGTGATTTGGGGTATGCTCCTTGAAGCTGTATTTCACAACCCTTTTTCATATTGTTAATATTATTCTGTCCTGTTCTGTTTTATTTTTTTGAAGTTGGACCTTAGAAAAGGTTTTTGAAGAACTTCAAGCTACTGATAAAGAGGTAATATAAATACAAACTTGTTAGTAATTGTAGAATAAGGAAACGTTATTCCATTGTGCACTACCTGATTTGTGGAGCTTTGTTCCTCTTTTCCTTCTTTTCTTTGCCTATTATCAAAATTAGAGTCATTTTTTAAAAGAAAGAAAATTGTGGAAATTATGCATTATTCTTTGGTTTAGGATTGGCTTCATACAAATATAGACATATTAGCTGCATTTATCCCCTTTTCTTGAAAATTTAAAATATAGAATGGAGAGTTAATAAGATTTTTTCCCAGTCCACAAATAATCTAATGTTTAAAAATAATATTTCTTTTAAATAATTTAAGCCAGGCTTAATGACACATGCCTGTAATCCCAGCACTCTAGAAAGCTGAAGCAGGATGATTACAAATTCAAGTCCAGCTTCAAAATACAGAACTGAGGCTATATATAGCTCAATGTAGAGGCCTTGTATTTAATCCGCAGTGTGCAAGGGGCTGGGGATGGGGAGTTACTCTTTTTTGGGTTTGGTTTTTTTTTTTTTTTTTTTTTTTTTTTTTTTGAGACAAAGTCTTGCTGTGTTGTTCAGGTTGCCCTTGAACTCACTGTGTAGCCCAGGTTGGCCTCAAACTCACAGCAATCCTCCTCTCCAGCCTCCCAAGTGCTGGGATTACAGGTGTTCATCACCACACCTGGCTGGTTTTCTCTCCTCTTGATTCATTATTTGATGATGTGCAGAAAAGAATACCTAAGAGAATGGTTTCTGGTACTGCTGCTCTTGATGAAAGAAATCTTATAATTTGTTTTGCTTAGTTCACATAGGTCCTCTCTGATCTTCCATATTGTGCTACGATAAATAGGAATACAATATAAAGAATAATAGTCACTAACAGACATTCTTAGAGGTTAAATTGCTGTATAGTAATTCTCTGCTTTCAAAGGTACTGTTCAGTCCTGGATTTGTAAGCCTTGAGTATATTTTGAACACTGTCTTTCTGAGGCCTTTCATTTCATACTTAATGTGTGTCCCTTCAAAAGTTTGAGATGAGTTTAACAATGAGTAGATACTCCAGAATGACTACAGAAGACTTACAGAAAATGTAAATAAAATTTTTCAGAGAGTTCTGGAAGAGAATCAAGAACATTATCATGTAGTTCAAAAATTCCTTATCCTGGGAAACATTGATGGTAAGCTATAGTTTCATTTTACTTTGAGTTCTTCATTTTTTAAGAGTAATTTTTGTAAGTTACTAAAGTAATGCATGACTTACCACACTTTTAAGCTTTATAAATATCCACCTATTTGGATGCAGTTTTTTTACTTGTTATTATAAAATGAAGTTTGAATTTAACTCTAAGAGGATATAGAGTTATATAATAGCTGTTAATGGTGAGAGAGTGACTTAATAGCAGTTTAAAAATAAGGTAAATAGAAGGCGTGATTGAAAGATGTAGTGCATGTTTAAATTTTTAAAAGCTTGCCAGGCATGGTGGTGCACTCCTGTAATCACAGCCCTCAGGGGGCCGAAGTAGGAGAAGGCAAACCTGGGCTACATAGTGAGTTCAAGGCTAGCCTGAACTTCCAAACAAGTTCTGTCTGAGTCTTCCCCCAAAAAAACTCATTACAAAAAAGGACACATTGCTAATAATGATGAGACACTTGTGTTCCAAGTGAAGGAGATTATTTTGAGGGGGTTAATGGCAATGTGTCTTTTCCTGTCGTTTTTAAAAACATGCACCAAATTTTTTGATCATGCCATACTGATCAAATGTTTACAGAAATTTATGTCAAATAAAAACGTTGTGGTGTATCCATAATCTCCGCTGTGTAATCACTGGATTGGCACTGTGTGACTTCTGGCTCTTTCCCAAAGTCAAAATGACCACCAAAGGTAAATGTTTTGAGTTGATCTGGAATATCAAAGCACCCACACCTAGACACTAGAACTGGAATTCCAGAACTGCTTCAGAGAGTGGCAAGAACGATGGGATAAGTTTTAGTGAGGGGATTATTTTGAGGGGAATTATTAACAGTGTTTTTTACTGTGTTTGCCATATTTTTTTAATCACACTTGGTAGTGTTTATCTGATTTTATTCTTTTCTTTGATATCATGTAGGTTTGATGGATGAGTTCAGCAGATGGCTTTCTAAAAGCAGAAGCAAACTACCTGGGCACCTCCTCCGATTCATGACTCACCTTGTTTTGTTTTTCCGCACCCTGGGAATACAGGCCAAAGTAAATAAAAACAATGTATCCTTCTCTGCAAAGTTGATACATATCATTAGGAAAGCACATTATGTGTTGTTCTCTAGAAAGAGTGATAAGTGTGTGAAAGTCTTTGCTGTCATCTCATATGGTCATCTTATGATAACTCACTGTGAGTGACCATTAGTAACTAATCTTGGCCACATAATGCAAGGTTTCCTATTTTTAAGAACCATATCCTTATCAGTATCTAACTTCAAATCAAGCAGCTAAGCTAGCTGAGCCAGACTAAGTTCTTTGTGAGAGTCTAAACCTTTGTTTTCTTTTTCCTTTTAGTTTTTCTAAATGTTTCATAACATTTTTGTTAAAGAGTACATGTAGAAACAATGATACTGTAGTTGAAAGCTTGAGCTTAGCATAAGACCTTTGAGTTCACATCCATATTCAGTACCTTCAACTGTGGAATTCTGAGTTAAGGAAAAAAAAAAAACCCTTGGGTCTTTGCTTCTTGCTCTGTAAAATAGTAACAGTACTACTACGTACCCACAAAGAGTTATGGTAATATGAAGTCAGGCAGTATGTCAGCTTTACTAAGCACTTTTCCTGATGCCTTTATTGTTTAATGGGTTATATTAAAATTATTAAATGATTTAGTGGCAGAATTTTTATTAGAAATTTAATTACTGATGCATATAAGCAGTTGTGTTTATTATAATAGAACTATGTCTTTTCTCCTATAAAGGAAGAAGTTTCGATTGAAGTTTTAAAGACATACATACAGGTAAACTTTGAGAAACTAGAACCTGATTCTTTTTTTTTTTACTATTTTAACTAAAAAATCAGAGTGATATTATTTTAACATCGAGTGGCAGAAAACTCATCCATTGGGGATCTTTAAATTACCCTTTTTGCGGGGTGGGTTTGAGATAGGATCTTACTATGTAGTTCAGACTGCCCTGGAACTCACCATGTATCCCAAGCTGGTCTGGAACTCACTGCAGTCCTCCCGCCTCAGCTTCCCAAGTGCTGGGATTACAGGCATGTACCACCATGCCCAGCTTCCTAATTTCATTTTACTAAAGCTTTTTAGTAACTTTGGGTTCAATTCCCATCACTCCCCCCAAAAACACAAAACAAACAAGAAAAAACACTACTTTTCTAGAACTTGTTGTATTATTGACCTACTTTGATCTTTTTCCATTTTCAGCTTTTAATAAGTGAGGGGAATACACATCTCATAGCATTTTACTGCTGTCATTTGCCTCAAGACCTTGCTGTTGCTCAGTATGCCTTATTTTTGGAAGGTGTCACAGATTTTGAACTTCGCCACATTTCCTTGGAGCTGGCTAGGGAAGCAGGTAAAAATGGTTGAGATTTTATCTGTGGACCTTGTTAGGCAAATTTTCATTTTGACTCAGAATAGTTGTTCTTCAAGTTTTGAACCTTGTTGCTCTTGAGAGGAGAATAAAAAGGAATAAAAATTTTCAGTGAAATTCTGTTTTAGGAATAAAATAACATATTGTAATTCATATGTAAGATATTTTTACATTTTGGCATTTTATTTCATAAAGCTTTAGGATTTTATGTATTAGATTTTTTTAAGAATTACTGTTCCAAGGGCTGAGGATGTAGCTCAGTGGTAGCATACTTTCCTACCCTGAGGCTGTAGGTTTTATCCCAAGGCATGCAAAAAAAAAAAAAAAAAATTCAAGTTTACCAGATTATTGTAATTATTTAGAGAATATTAGTATTAATGATTTTTTTTCAAAAATGTTTTAGATTTGGATGTTGCAACAATAACAAAAACTGTGGTTGAGAATATTCGAAAGAAAGATAATGGTGAATTTAGTCCTCATGACCTGAGCCCAGACCAAGAGAGTGACACTACTCAGGTAATTTCAGGTGGAAGATAAGGGGGTTGTATAACTTCCACTAATCCTGTTCCTTGGTGAACTTCTACTTTCTATATTTTAATTTTTTTGAAGACTATTTCTTTGTCAGCCCAGCCCTTTTTTTTTTTTTTTTTTTTTTT